TTGGTTTGGTAGTTTAGTGTTGCCGCTATCAATGCACGTACACTTGAAACTGATGCCTCTGCACCAATCCGTTTTACTATACTGTTCACATTTGATTTTGTATATTTGACACATCTTCCTCAGCTAATTTCAGCTCTTATCGTAGAGTGATCTTTAACTGTAGACTGCTACGCGTAGTAATTTGCATAACCTTTAGTTTGATAAAAGTTTTTCCACAGATTTTCAAATTTATTCATCGGTGGTATGATGGTGCAAATGTGTTCAGGCATATTTATAAAATATCATATATTTAGATGTTTTTAAAAGGAGACGTTGCAACATGTCAAAATCGATCAGCGTCACCTCACGAGAAAGAGTTGGGTTATGTCAACGGTCGTGTTATTCAAAAACAATAACACGTAATCCCGCATCGTCAGACACGAAAGTGTCAATGGATACGTTGCTCCTCATTTTTCGTCACTCAGTTTCTTTATTTCGATGACTGCATGTTTTGCGGCCTGAAAATATCCCACGTATATGATCTAAAGTTTCCGTTATAGTGAATTTTTTCTCCAAGCTATCTATTACTTACAAGTCTTACGGTTTGGTCGGGATCGGATACCATTAACTTCTCTAATGCGTTTCTCAAAGCGTAAGTCCAAATATTTACCATATGCCTGTGCCAACGGCAGCCCAATAGTTTTATCAGGTCACAGGTTCTCTTTCTAATTACTTCCTCGGAGTGCGTAACCAATTGAATGAACTGTTTATGCGCATGCCCTTTCATGAAAAGTACATTTTATTCATATTAATCTAATATTAATAAGAATACAGGCTATTCTTGCAAAGTAGTCTAACCAAACTTTCTCTGTGTAGACGGTATCTTTTGGACAAGGTACTCCTTAGTTTCACCCAACATTGCGATTAGCTTCTTCGGAAATGGTCGTTGGTGTAGTTCCTTGGTCATAGAGACTGGCGTTTTCTTTATTAACCGATAGTATTAAACTATCCTGGTTTTGTTCAACCGAGCAATCATAACTTGTATTTGTAACCAGTGAACCACAACATGAGCACTTTTGTTATAAAAAAAAAAACCAAGCTACAATGCTGGCAAAGTGTCGGAGTATCTTATCGAGAGGATACATCTTCCACCCAGAATTCCCGATAAGAATTTCGCCTCTGCAAAGCTACTCTATGATAAAATTAGCAGAGAACGACAAACCGATACGAGCGTTTCTTGGTAAGAATAAACGATGATTTACGCCGTGAAACTTACACGACATCGACGGAAATGACATGACTTGTTTGACTAGAGGATCTTTTTTCGGGTTGCATCGCAATACATGGTTGAAGATCGCAATGAGATCCGCAACTAAACGTGGCTTCTTTTTCTTCAAAAGCAACAATTGCTGTAGAAATGCGAATCCATTCACGGTAGAAATAGCTGTACAAAATTGAGTGATAAATTTGTGCCGAGCATGAATCAGATTACAAAGTAGTAGCACCGAATATTCCAAGGTCTGTAGTTCGTCCGAGGTCAATTTAGACGCCAATCTGGTTTTTGCGTTTGACGGATCAAATTTTTCGTGTGACTCCGGTCGCTCGGACATTAAAACTTTTAAAGCGTAGACTAGATTCGGTACAACCTTTACGTCCAAATATACTCGTTGTATCTTGAAGAGAATGGGTCGCTGTAGTCCAAGAGCAAATGGCAGGGACAAAAGACAAGCAATGTATTTGACAACTCGACAATTAACCGTCAAGTTTTTCAATGGAGATATCAATACCGAAGTGCAGTTTTCTTGTAGTAACGAGTCTAGTTCGCCGTTCATTATTTCCTCCATTGATTTTTGCAAAAATACGACCCATTCTTCGGTTTCGATTGGACTTTCATCAGCTTTCGGATTCCAATCGGGTAATCTGTTATTATGCAAATCATCGTCAACCGCTGAATTATCTTTCCCTGGATAAGATTCGTGTCTGTGACAATAGAATGCTTCAGTCTCTGGTGAAACACCTAATTCCTCGAGACTCGACGTATCGTCTTCGGGATCAACGAACCCGTTGTTGTTTATTGCTTCTTCAGTTTCTCGGTTTTGCATTTGTCTTTGTTCAACGCAATGACACAACTTGGTACAGTCTGCGAACACGTTATGCGCTAATGATGCTTTGAACGGTCCGTCGTGTTTGCAGGACAGACTTTTGCTTTCCGGAATTGACGTAAGCGGTGGCACGCGTTTACGATCTGCCATTGTATCCAGAGCTCTTCCATACACCATTGGGACAGTGTCCCGTAAAAATCTGTGTCAATACGGAACTATCGTTAATCGAGATTCATGTCAATATACAAACTCGTTCATATAATTCGTATGTGCACATAGACGTATGATTTGTAGTCGATGGAACTTATTACTGCGCGAAATATGTTCTACTGAATTATACATACTTAGCCTGCGAATCGGTAAGATTCGTATCGATATCGTGCAGTTGCGTATGCTTTTGTTTAGCTTGACTTGTCAACACAGGTGTAGCAAATGGTGTAGGCATAGCTCTGTTGATATTTAAAAGAGATTTTTCGAGGAAAGGATGCTCTATAAGAGCAGGCCATGTTAACCTTTGTGAAGGATTTTTCTGTAGTAATCCCTATTTACAAACGGATTATTGTCAGGCGATGAAATTCAGATGGAACACTTAGGTAACCAGGAAGATCAATGTAAATGTATTACAACCTGTAGGAAGCTTTTGCAGTTCTGAGACATGATATAAGAATCTGGCCAACTTATTGATTCAAATCTTATCAATTCGATTAAATGTAAAATAGAATCTGTTCGAAAAGGTGGATGACCTTGAATCATTTGATAAACTATGCAACCAAGCGACCTGAAAATAGAATGGTTTGTATACTGTGTATATCAAACCTGTACCTGCCAAATTTAACATACCATAGATCTGCATTATGATCATAAGGATGTTCTTCTATAAGCTCTGGAGCCATGTATAACGGTGTTCCTTTTATAGAAGTTAACACTTGTGTCTTTGTACTCATACTACGAGCGAATCCAAAGTCACATAAGACTGCCTCTCCATTATGTTTAATGAGTACATTTTGTGGTTTAAGATCCCTAAAGGAGGAATGGCTTGTTAGCATTGAAAAATATGCTAAAGCATCAAATCTCTGACCTGTGTAATATTCTTTTGGAGTGCAAGTAGTGGAGACCAGAAACAAGATTGCAAGTTAATTTTTGCACAGTGTTTTCGGGCAGGTAACCACCTGTTTCGTCTAACAGACGGCATAAACTCTGACTGACATATTGAGTCACGACTACTATCTGAAGGAAAAATTCTTTCATGCTATATAACATATATAGCGTTTATATCTGTGTGAAACATGCATCGGTACCTTATTTTTGGTTTCAAAGGAATCGAGCATTTGTAGTATGTTTGGATGAAAAAGTTGACTTTGAATTTCATGCTCTTGGCGTAAGCTTTTCAATTCCTTTGATGATCTGCCACGCTGCATGATAGGGTTCGGTTTGTATCATCATCGACACAAAAGAAAAGATAAGAAAGTATAGAAAGAAAGGAACGAGAGAAAACGCGAATGTCGATGCTCCACGGATATCTGTTTACCTTTTCGATTACTTTGTAAGCTACTGTTTTACAACCTGATCGAGTAACCGCTTTGTATACTCGTCCGAAAGATCCATGGCCCACTTCTTGTAACATTTGGTACTTTCCCGTCGTATCGAAAACATTGCACATTCCTGTTGCTATCTTAATTTGCCACTCTTCCATCATTATAAACACTTATATCGAATGAATTGAAATAGACTACTGCACAGCACAGTATAATGAATAGATACGTACTTGGATAAAGACGCTTTATACATCAATAATATAGGCAAATGTAGGGTTAAGAATTCATTGTTTGGGATGTTCGCGCACTGTAAACTATTATAAGCACAGAATACCAAGATACTCTCACAGAGACGAAACTCAGGCGTTTTTCGGGTTCCGATTCTAAGTACATAAGAGGTGCATTCGATGCATTTAAAAAGGCCATTGCTCGCTAAGCGATAAATTACCAAGTGTTGCTAGAATTATTTAAATTTTTAATTTCTAATTAAAAAGTTAGAAATGAAAATATTAAATTGGTGGTTCTCTTGGTTCTCTTCAGCTATTGGCTACTAGAAAAGAGCAGTCGTCATGTTTGCGTATGCGTATACTTATTACACTACTAAGTGTTGCTAAATTAATAAACATATAACCTTTCCGTACACTTTTCTTAATCTTCAATCCCTTATTTTACCTTAAACCAAACCAAAGTATAACTATTTTACTTTTACATCTTTTGGACGGCATTCATCTTACAGCTAACTTATATTTATTAATATTAATATAACGCAGTCTGAATAACGCAAGTGTCTGGATGAGGAGTTTTTTTAGATTTTGGGATTTTTTATTTTTTGTTTTTTATTCGGGAGTAAGGATAATTACTCAACTATAATTTAGGAGTTGAAGTTGTATTTGCTCTCAAACATTCGTATTAATAATTAAAACTAGTTTTTATTCATCTGACTTGATATTTTCCAACGAGGAAAAGCTTTTTCTTATATTCTCTATTTTTTTTTTTTTTTTTTTTTTTTTGAACACATAGTACCTTATTCATTTCTTAAACTTTCAAGTAAATTTTAACTTAGACTTTTATAAGGCTTTATCTTTCTTTAAAGTAATACTGGGCTTACTTTAAAGTAATACTTTTTAGTTTGCATATGAGTATCTTTCCCCTTCCTCTCTTACCATTTATTTCTTACTTAGAAAAGAAAGAAAAATTTATTTTTTTTTTCTTTTCGTCATGTTTGGGAACGAAAAATTTGTAACCTCACTCGTTCACAGTACATGGACAGCCTATCTTTTACCCTTTCATCTAGCGGTGAAAATATCGAACTAATCAGAAATGATTATTAATGCCCTCGATATCTTAACTCCCAAGTTTGTCGTGAAATAGTTCTTACATTTGCTGCTAGATAGAGACTCACGCCTATTTAGATAACTGTAGAAGTATTTTAGAAGCTAAATAACTTCCTAGCCGAAGTATAACCTTTTAAATTATACAATGGAATCTCTTGTATAATTTAGAAGGTTATATCATATTTGATCAAACCGTTAGTCAACTTCTTATTTCTACACAGTATAAACAGTTTAAATTGAATCGAATTTCCCTCTATATTTGCTGCTGGTCCTCCTTCTCTATTTAGTTCTGTGGACGTGTCGCATATGGCGCAGTCGGAGGGCCTCGGTAAAATCTCGTGAGATGCCTATCCGTAACAGTGGCTCAAACTGACAGCTGGAAGATCGTGAAGCAGGAGTGGCAGATCATGTAAGGTGAGTATTCTTTATTTTGTCGATGAATAGATTAGTTTGGTACATTCTTAGGAAATATCACAGGCTGTCAGGGCCTCTTTATACGCCGGAAATTTCTCATCTAATTTTGTCTTGTTAAGTGTAATTGACACACACGCTGAATGTTATTTTTCGTTTCACGAGTTCATGTAAATGTATTTGTTAATTCTGTTGTTACGTTGAAATCTTTAAAATATTCGTGACAGTATGTTGCCGATGTTATTGGTCTAATCGCGTTAATCCTTTCAGGGCACTTTGGCTAGATAGCAAAGCTTGACAATTTACAAGAGACAAGTTGCTAAAGACACATTAAAAGAGTTGACAGAATAGGCAGAAGAAGGAAGAGCAGCGGGGGAGGGGGTGGGAAAACAAAAGGCGGTATGACACGACCTCCTAATAATGACAACCTTATGACTTTCAAGTTAGTCGTAGTTGGTGATGGAGGTGTTGGAAAGAGCGCACTCACCATACAGTTCTTTCAAAAGTTATTTGTCACTGATTATGATCCCACCATCGAAGACAGTTACATTCAACATACAGAGGTAGATAAACAATGGTGCATTCTAGATGGTAAGTAAACTTTTCCCTTAACACATCACCCGCTTTGTCGCATTCAACTCATAGAATTGCTATCTGCTATTTCTTGGATAATGCTTGACACGCTATACTGAATGCGTAACACATTCTTACGTGTACAAAGGTTTATTTGTATCTAACAGTGCTAGATACAGCTGGTCAAGAAGAATTTAGTGCCATGCGTGAACAATACATGCGCAAGGGTGATGGGTTTCTGTTAGTGTATTCCGTGACTGACAAACAGTCGTACGAGAATATCATGAATTTTTATACCCAAATACTTAGGGTAAAAGATAGAGATGTGTATCCAATGCTTCTGGTAGCCAACAAAGTTGACTTGGTACATTTGAGAAAAGTTACAGAGGAACAGGGAAGGGAGTTGGCGCATCGTTTGGGTATACCTTACATTGAAACTTCTGCCAAAGATCCGCCGTTAAATGTAGACGCAGCATTTCACGAGGTAGGGGGTTAAGAGAATAGGTGGATAAGGCCGATACAACAAGTTGACTAGAACAGTTAAGAGGTTTGAATAATTTTGTCCTAGGTTGTTCGTATAATCAGAAATCAACCTCCGGCCGAACTGGAAAAGAACCGGCGGAAACGGAGACGTTCAGGGAAATGTAATATTTTGTAAATGTTGAAAATATCATGCAAGTATCGGAGGTTGCGGTACGATCACGCATCGTCTTTCCGAAAAGTCACTTTTCCTTACAAAAGTGAAACATACCTGCCAAAACGAAAAAAAAAAAAAGAAACAAACAGAATGGGTCGTCTGACTTCCATCGTATATAGGTTACTATGACTCGTTTTTCTTTTTCTTTTTTCATTCACGTATAATTTCATAGTATTAATGAACGTCGAACGATTGATATCCCATCCCTGTATAATAAGTGTACAAAATAGTAACGATAAGTCATGCATCGATCGAACGAAAAACAATGCCAACTATCTCCAAGGATGCGACTAGATTTTTTAAAAGAAAACTAATTCAGCATCGGTTTAAGACTAAAAAAAAAGAGAGAGAATATAGAAAAATTCGTCGGAGATATCGACTGTTCATCGTCTTGATAATACGAGACCGCCATCTCTATACGCGCGTACACATCAATTTTCTACCATCGACTAAACACTATGGAATTGAGCGTTTTTTATTGCACGATGCATACATAATTCTATAGAAAATCTTTTTACTTCTTCGCGTAAGATCTCGTCATGAAGTGACTATAATGGTTTCGTATACCGACTCAGCTAATTTTTTAAACAGCAGTCGAGAATCATAGCTTTAAGCGTATTTATTCGTATTTCATTAAATTAAACGTTTTCGTCTTCTGACATTATTTTCTTGTTGTGATATATTCTATGACGCGCACATAGTCTCCTCGGAACAAATATTTTTAAAACTTTCGTACTACAATTTTTTTTCTTTTGTTTTCATATATTTCACGTGAATACTTTTTATATTAACCTCTTGCGCTGCCAACATTTCCTCGTATTTGATAGTTAGTGATACAAACAGCTTCTAATATTTGTTCTATCACAGCTAGTTCGCACTTAGAAAAAGAGTATTTTTTAGTTTTTATTATATTTTCTTCTCAAAATAATTTATTACTTACGCGTATCGCGCGACATTTTCAACTCCCGAAGAAAAATCTCTCGACGCCCGTGGCATGTAATAACAGTGCACGAGGTTAATGCATCTACATATAATTTATAGTACAAACTTGTTGTATTGAATTTTTTTTCCAACGACGTTTAAAATTGTTATGTCAACGAATTTCGGTTCCATCAGTGATGTGCATATGAGGCGTTCGAAGCCTAACAAGTAATTAATATTCTGAATCAAGAATAAAGTATTCGATGCGAGGCAATATTGCCTCTGGTATTAGATTATCGGCTTTCGTGCATACAGAGGTCTGATGTAAAACATCTATCACGATTCGAATTTTCGAAGTAGTACATACGTAAAATATTGATTTTAGATGGCCAGCGCCGCAAGACTAGTGCATTATTAAATAGCTCGCAAGGGAAGTTGGGCAATTGATACGCGCCGACAAATTTGAATTTTTTTCCAGAAATAAAATTCATGGGAACCTAATCGCAGTGCCCTTTTCCATTTTTACCCGAAAACAGTTTCAGGTGTGGAAACACCGCTTTGAAATAATTCTGGTTATTCATTTATATTTATCTGAAAACGTAAGAGATATCGATACAATTTAATTGTTTTCAACATTCTATAACACCGTGGTAAGAAATTAAAAAAAAAAAAACATTAATTTTGATCATATTTCCTTCACCATGAATCTTTCCACCATCAGCTGCATAAAGATTGTGTTCGCGATTTTGTGGGTGCTCCATACTGTACAACTTTCGTCTAACCAATTTTTTTCTATCTGTTATCAACTTTGAGTTAGTGTGCAATATAGATACGTATCCTTTATTGTGTACTGAATGGATAAAAATTTCGGTCAGAATCCTCGACTGAAATTTGAGAAAATCATAACACTTGATTGGGTAAAAAAAAAAAGTTATACATGTCGAATTGAGTAATCTCCTCCTTTATGAAGTCGGTTAATGAATTTCAACGGGAAACAGTGTGTTTTTGGGACGAATTTAACAAAAAATATAAAACTATCGGAAAAGTATTTTATAGCTCTTTTTGGACGGAAATATACGTAAAAAGTTACCTTATCTTCCACAATTCGTAGTTCTCCCAATTTACAAAAATGGAAAAAAGATTTTCTTAAGAATTTGAAAGTAATCGCCTGTTGAAAAACATTTAATCTTGTATCTAAAATTTGTTCAATACCTTTAATGATACCAGAGATATTAGCAAAAATATAAATAACCTGAGTTTATTATTTTGAAGGAATCTCTTAAAATCGTCTTTGAATAAAAATGGAAAAATTCACTGCAATTGGGTTCCCATGTACTTCATTTCTGTCAACATACAATTTTTTCGCCGTGTATCAATCACCGAACTTCCCTTGTCAGTTTTATTTAGGAGTTGTGCAATAAACAAAGTATTGCTTTCGTAACAAGTACAAAATTTTATTAGTAGCGTGTTATTTCGTGTTCGCTAATGTTTAATTTGAAACTTTCGAATTCTATCAAATACAAAGCCTGAACTTCGATTATGTCAGACCTTTTTATATATATTAAAGAAAATGATGCCATGGCCTATATTAGTATTTAAATGTAACAAAATAATTAAAAAACGAATTAAACAAAATATGTGACCTACTCCGAAGCAAGGTGACTCATGGGTTGAGATCATGATTTTTAGTGGAAACAAATTATACGAAATAATTTAAAAAAAAAAAAAACAATGATTCTCCTTGGCATTTCGGATAAATCGAGTCTTATTCGATCTAAAACGCAGTCCTCTTCGGGTTAATGCAATGTAGGGTCTAGAACAAATTTTATACTAAACGAGAGTTAAAACAAACAAGTGTAAGTGGTATAATATGCAACGCAAATAAAATTTAAAAAAAAATACGAATGGGAAAGGAAAGAAACGTACGAATGTCTATAAAAATTTGATTGTTAATATAATATAATATGGCTAAGTACATACCCGGACAACGATCCGTTAGTAAGTAAAATGAGTTCGAATTTTGCTGTGATTGTCAAGGAAAGTCATTGTCTTTTAATAATACTCCGATCATTTTCCACGCGTTAATTTTTCAAAAATGAACAAAATAATGGATGCCAAAAAATTGTTTTTGTCTATATGGTGTTTCCCTTGGGAGCAGGTCACATACACGGGGATGAAAGTCGTAGCGGGGAGATTAATTTTTTTTTTTTCTAATTTTGAGAAAAACCTTTTCCTTCAACGAACTTGAATGTATAGATTACATCTATGCGTACTAGTAAATACTTTAAATAAATTTTTCTTTGTATCGCTATGGTTTTTATCCCCTATGTACGTTTAAAAGTACATTCTAACGCGAGTGCGCGTGTAAATAACTCGAGTGACTCGTGAAACTTATCGATAAAACGAAATAGTATAAGGAACGTTCCACTCGTTGCCGCGCGCTTTAGTAATAATTAGTTCGAGTTATTTACAGTATGCAAAGTATGCACGATAACGCGAGATAGTAGGAGAGGGTTTACAATTCGCTCCGAGATTGTTGTTTACAGTTGTTTCCGTAGCGGGTCGTGTTTTTAATTTTCATTTTTCACCTTTGTGCCGAAACTTTTCGAGCTTTTATTTTACTCGACGGGGTTCAATTAACGATATCACGTATTAGCATACGCACAAAGTGCTTTTCCTACGTGTAGGACACAGTGGGAAACTGAATAGTAATTTTAAACGGTACGATACGATACGTAAAACGTGCACAAAACGTGTTTGGCGAGATCGAGTAATTCTAACAGTGAAATATATTTGCCTTGAGATAGAAATATAATCTGTATTATCAACGAGTGAAGGCTATCGACGGAATTTGTGTAGTTGCCATACGTAGGAAGCTTCGATTATTATTTTTTTTTTAATAGCGCGAATGTGTCGACGTATTTTATATTGGATGATAAATCGAATGTTCGATAGCGTTCGTCGTTATCAACATAGACACGTTTGTCCGTGCGCAACGAAATATTACCGAGTTAAGAACGAAACACTAAAACGATGCATTTTGCTCCGTTGATACTTTTGTTTGCTAGTAAAGAGGTTCGTGAAATCGTGAACCGTTATTTTAGCCAATTATATTCTCGCAGATTCGAAGAAAGCTCAATGCGTAGTTTAAAATTGCACCGCACAATTAAACGAATAACGATTGTATAAATTTAACCGAAACGATCGCACGGTATAGCGAAATTATAATTTCGTATGGGGTTTACTCTAGAGATGGGCGAAATTTAAAGAAATTCTATCTGTTATTATAATAGATCTATTTATTCGTTCCAAGAATATTTATTCGGCGAATAAGGATGCCTTAATCCTTTCAATCGTCGAGAAAAGAAAGCGTCTTTATTCGAATAGATCTATTCGAAAGCTTCGAATACACTTCGGTTAGAAATTCAGGTAAAGAAGAAAACCGTACTGTAAGCTGGATTGAATGAAACAAGTAACTTTATTCGATGAATAAATCATTTCGAAAGCTTCGAGTGAACTTTGAATGAAAATTCATGTAAAGCTGATAACATTATTTTAAGCTGCAGACGAATCGTTTGGCGAATGAATAAAGTATCTTTATTCGTAGAATGGATCTATTCGAACGCTTCGAATAAAAATTCAAATAAAAGTGTAAACCTCACTTCAAGCTGGAAAGGGTATCTTTATTCGTCAAATAAACACATTTATTCGTTATAGGTTGAAACCTTCGAATTAGCGATAAAAATAAAATATCTTCGTTCGATGTTTTATTTGAACAATTCTTTTCACCTAAATAATGCCCAGCTCTGGTTCATAGTGCAGGACGCGCTCGTGAATTTTATCGTCATACGTAAAATGGACAAGTTGTACTCGCGAATATATCTTAATTTCGCGTGTCCGTAAAATCTGTCGATATTTTGTGGACGGTTGATTTAATTTGTATACCACAGTGATTTTATTGTTCGCGCGAAACAATACTGTTTAAACATTTCCCTCGCCAGTTGAAATGAATCGCTGCTTCTCGAATGCGTGCGCTGTTAATCGAAATTTTGTTGATCGTACTATTAACATTTAATAGGTACCTTATACAGGGTATTTAGCTATAGGTGTGCGTCCTTTGAAAGTGACCATAAAACAAAACCAAAGAATATTGAAATTTTGTGTTTGGCTTTGTGTCCGAGATATTTTTTATCAGAGGGGAATAAAATATTACGGATACTTTGATAATACAGTATTGTCTCGAAATAAGCAACTCTTTTCCGCCTCGAAATAAGCAACTCGTTATCCTCACCTCTTTATTTGAAGTCGTCCGCCGAGTGAGAGATACGAAAAGATGTGAAAGGTCCGTGAAAACGAGAAGCCATAAATCTTTCGCTATTTTAGTTTAAAGATCAGTGAAAAGAGCACAGAATACGCGTAATGTTTTCTCTTTCTCTGGCGTGTGTATTCTCCGAAATACTACTGTTAGTTGTACACATACAATGGGTGTAGAAAGTATTCGTACACTGATCAATTTCCAACAAAATTGTTAATTTCACGAATTACATTAACTCGTGTATAATACTATTACAGTAAGTAAATGTTGTTTGGACTATATCTATCTTAGACATTTCTGAGAATATGTCAAATATCATTGATTATAAAAAAAGAAATTAACGAAACTACAATTTCACACAAAAGTTTTTTAGGGAAATTGATCGGTATACGAATGCATTCTACACCCTCAGTACGTTCCATTCGTTCGATTTACTAGTGCTAAAATGAGAAAGTATGTGTATCTTCTATCATTCTCCAAAGTACAACACAAGTTTCATAGTTTGCCGTTACACCGAACCCACTTTTTTGTCTACGGGTTCTCGATGGACTCGCTCTAGAACAAAGTCAATCCGAATAGCATACCTCCCTCGAAATGAGCAACTCGCCGTTCCCGACCGAGTTGCTTATCCCGAGACAATACTGTACCTCCATGAAGACAGTATAGAAAAAATGTTTATTATCATTAGCAGATAATCCTCTATATGTAAATACCTCGTGTAACGTACCTATTAAAAATCGCCGCTTCGTTTAAAGCCTGTACATTCAACGATGGATGTCGCATCGCAAATGTAACGTGGACCATCCGTTCAAACCGATCGATTCGATTCGAAAATTTCTAAGTGACGACGATCGTATCGTCGACGAGCGTTTACGTGGATCCGATTATTGATATTAATATACCGACGTTGTCCGCGGACACGAGATTCCGATATTAACGCGCAACGTTCCATTGTTTCGTTCCATGGAGGTTCTTCTCGTAAATGGATTACATTGGAGCGCGCGACAGTTTCCGCGGCAAGAGTCGCAATCTGCTTTGAAAAGGATTAAAGCAGCGATTATCTAATGCAAAAAGGGGGGCCGGGAAGGGGGAGGTGAGGAACTTGTATATATTGCGCGCACGTACCGCGCGATGTTTTAGAGACTCAGGATATTTAGCGTTCCTCGCATGTCGTAATAATCTGTAACAAAAGCGCCACACGTTTTTTATCGCCGTCCATGAGAGAGAGAGAGAGAGAGAGAGAGAGGATCGTGTAAAAGGACAGAGGGAAACGAAAGCTTACATGCTGTTATATAAGAATGACACGACAATTAGACACGACTACGGTACACATGCGTGTTAAGGGAGTATTCTAGTCAGGATGTGGTAAAATATAAGCCATCGATGGAATTTTTATCAAGATATTAAGTTGACATTTTTGCGTCATTGTTCATACATATCTCGTTAAGTTACATACAGTGGGTGTAGAATGTATTCGTACGCCCATCAATTTCTCAAGAAACTTTTCTGTGTTTACATTTGACTCGAGTCGAACGTCAAACATAGAAATGGACAGAGATTGAAGAAAACAGGTCCGAGAAAAAAAAAGCAGTCGACAGAATCGTTATCAATCGGTTACGATCATATTGCACATCATATCTTGCATTTATACAGTCAATCCTGTCTCGCACTTATCCAGTCTTCACTGTAGTAATTCGTACAAGTATGGTTACAGCTCGAACTAGAAGAAATGAAATATCTCGAAAAGTAACAAAATAACAAATATCGATTTTTTCATAAAAGTTATCTTGTTTAATAATACATAAAGTTACTTAATTTAACGAAAACGTATTTTTCTCACTATTAGAGGACAGATTACGTGCACACTGAATTTCAAGCTAATCCGTCCATTAATTTTTTGCGAAGTCATGTCATCTATCATGAAAAATATAGTTTCGAGAAAAATATGTTTAAAATGTTGATTAAACGTAATAGAATCTCAATGATTACACGGGTTCTCTTTGTACTTTGGAATCTTGACACAATCATTCTTTGTATTCTACTCCTTACACAATTTTTCTCCGACACCGGTCTTTTTTTATTTATGTGTTTGCCTATTTAACGCATTCATGGTACAAAGCCTGTGGCGTTGTCCATGTAGGGTAATTCTTATCAAAGAAAATAATGTACAGCTGAGATATTGTTTCTAAGCCTAACGTCTAATCATATAGTTTTATTTTCAACAGAGTTCGAAAAGTTTCACTGAAAACTTTTTAGGTGTTTTTAAAACTCCAAATCAGAAGAACATGGAAAATCAAATATTTCCAAAATTCCCGACTAGAATATCCCCTTAAACCGAAGTTCTTGCAAAACGAAGTAGCAATCGGTGAAACCGCAAAATTCGTGGAGTTAGAGCGTACGCTTTTAGAAAAATTACAAAAAATGAGGATAGCAAGAGGGATTATCTATAAAATAGTCAATATGTTGAATCATTGTGATATACCGAATACGAGGAGATGCGATATAGCGAATGTTATAGTTACGAGAGCCATCGAAGTCAGTCTTCGTCGATACCGTACAGTAGCGGAATTCATTTCGGATGAAATGGGTCGTTCATTATGGCAATGGTGTAACTCCATTTATCTCCGTTGCGAGATACACAAAGTTTCCATTTTAACCGACTGAAATTTATAACTGAATTTATAAAACAATAAGTAAGCAAATTTACCAGAAAGGTTGACAATATCGTCATCGGTCGAAGAAAAATATATTTCTAGTAACCACGGATGAATGTACTTGTACGTCACTTTCATAATTATTCTCGGATTTGAAAAGTGTGGACTTCTACCAATATTCCTTTTGAAAAAGGTTAGAAGACGATACGTAAACGAATAGATCTTCTGTAAAACATGCTATATTTTATATTATTGTTGAAATGAAATGATCTTTGTGTTATGTGTATAAAAATACTCAAGAGATGTTTAATGCATGAAAGCAACATGGAATGTGAAGAATAAACAAAAGGAACTTTCATCTGACGGTGTGTTCACCTTAGAGGAAACACTGACCGGGTTTAACGTACCCTATACAGGGTGTCCCAGAATTAGTGTAAAAACCAGAAATAGAGGAGGGGGTAGGTGAGACGATTCTGAAGCACAATTTCCTTTGCAAAAATGTCGGGTGGTGGTTCGTTTTTGAATTATTAACGAAAATCCATCCGACCAATCACAGCGCCCGAGTAGCGCGCATTTTGCTCTGAGCGCTAATACGCCTATGCGCTGTGATTGGTCGGATGGATTTTCGTTAATAATTCAAAAACGAA